ATAGGTTGGGATCGGGGCTATACGTAGGGTCCCTTCTGCCCCACAAGCTGGCTTTGGGGTGTTTTGTTTTGGTTTTTTTTGGAGAAAAGACATTAAAAGATTTTCTCACCTCCACCGCCTCCGGTTTGCAGTGAAGCTGCACCCTGGTTTTGTACCCAGGAGAAACTTTCATGGGGGGGGGTGAGGGTGGGTGGGTGAAGAAAGAGAAGAGGGGGATGATAAGGGAAGCACCCACTTGGTCCAAGTGGTCCCAGAGCAGCCCTGCCTGGAGAGAGCCTGCAGCCCCCTGCTCCTGCCCAGCCTGGGAGCCTGCGGGACCCCGGGCACCAGCCCAGCGCCGGAGGGAGAGCTCTCACCCTTCCACAAGACTGACTAACCCTCTCCTTAACGAAGTCTCACGATGTGCTACTGACATGGAAATGGCCTTTTCCTTACATGCCGCTGTCCCGTGGCTTTGTCTTGGCCACAGGAGAAAAGACAGTCCTCGAAGGGGCGCACGCCTCTGGAGGGGTTGCGTGCCTCCGGCTGGCTGTCGTGGGCGATGGCACCTCCAAATCCCACCAGGAGAGCGGGTCCCCGGCAGCCCCGAGGAGGTCTGCTGGGATGCCACGTTGGCACGGGGCGTCCCCCTTGTAGGGCCGGGCTGTAGGAACACAGGATGGGATGCTATCGGCTGTGCGTTCCTCCCCCCTGCCGCAATTCCTTCTATTTTCACCCTGGGTTATGAATTCACCAATAATCTCAGCCGTCATCCAAGGATGGGCAAAATTTCTCTGTCTCGCCGCCGCGGGAACGCGTCACCGGTCTCAGCCCAGCCAAATTTCTCGCCAGTCCCTGAAGCAATGAACCTTTTTTTAAGCTGAGGGTGCGAGCGGCGCCGGCCGCCCGTCACTCACGAGAGAACTACTCCATGTATCTGTTTTCTTTCAGAATGAAAAAGGCAAACGTTGACCTCACTATGAAAGAGTTTCAAGGTATCTTTAGAAATAAAAAGGAAGAAAAAATAAAAAAAAAGGGAAGAAAAAATAAAAAAAAGGGAAGAAAAGAAAACCCCTCAGATTTTGAATGCTTGCCACCCCTGATGCCGTCTGCACCTTAAAAGTGCTTCAAGGGCAGTTTTGAGCCCATGGCACAAGTCTTTGCTCTTCAGTAGCCGGGGATGGCTCTTCCTTTCAACGGAAGGCTTGGTCCCAAAAAGGATTTTAGGATACAAATTGCCTCCCTCTCTTGAGGTTATACGTAATTCCCACTCTGGCAAAAGGTCCGTGGTGCAACTGCGCAGTCTCTTCCCTTCGGGGCTACGTGCGTGTTTCCTTCCATATGTAATCCCAGCGGGCTCTTCGCTTCCTGCTCTCTTTGCTTTAACCCTGAAGCTGCCCCGTTGCAGCTCCTTTTCTTGTCTCTGCATGGACGGAGCGGGCTCCGAGGCTGGCCAGGAGCAGGGCGGGAGGAGAGGACCGAGGAACGCAACTCCCCTGTAAGCCTTGGGCACGATGTAGCCTTGGGCATGATGCAGCTTGTCGAGGGAAAGCTCGTTTTGGGCGTGAAGGTGGAATTTAAGCCCTGGGGTTCTGCCATCAGGAAGGTTTGCTGGGAGCGGGGTGAAGTCAGGAGGGAGGGAAGGTCTGGGGACAGGTTATAGCCTCGGAAGAAAGGTGGGATGAGCTCCAAAGAGCTTTCAGGCACAGAGTTTAGGACTGGTCAGTCTGCAGATTCATTGACACTAGTAGCTCAGAGCCCTCACTGGGGCTGGGCGCACCTACGTTGCGATGAGATGCATCTACCTAATGCATGAAGATATCAGGAAGGGGGTCTGGTGGGGGCAAGGAGGGGTCCACCACCTTCATCTGCCCTGGTACCTCCCTGGCAGGGCTGTACAGGCAAAACTAAGTCAGACAGAGCTGACCAGACAGCCTCAGATCTTCTCAAGGGGCTCCTCTGACTTTGCTTGGTGGAAGCTCGTGCACTCCATCTAGCGTCTAGAAAGCTGAACATTTGGGTAGCGAGCTGGGGTCCCCAGAGAGGACAATCCCGGCCATACAGTGACCACGACAGCCCCTGGATCAATGGGCAGCACTCTGCTACATGGCTCTTGGGCAGCAGCAACATCCCACTTTGAGCTTTCCTGACCAGGGCAGAGGTTTGACTTGCTGCTCTGGGGTCAGAAATAGCCGTTGCTTCTATTCCCTGACCCCTCCTTAAATAATTTGTAGTACGCGAATATAGAGTAATGTGGTAAAATTGCTTTAAAAAGGAAGTTTTTGTACAAAATGCATGGGCTTTGCATGCCAGAGCGCAGCCTGGATTCTTGAAGATTAATTGTTGCCCATTGTGGACTTAGGATTGTTGTACATGGTTTAGAGGTGGCTTTGTCGGGGTAGGTTGATGGTTGGACTTGATGATCTTAAAGATCCCTTCCAACTTTAGCGATTCTGTGATTCTACATGAGGACAAGAGGGAACGGGCACAAACTTGAACATAGGCAGTTCCATCTAAACATGAGGAGGGACTTCTTTCCTGTGAGGGTGGCAGAGCAGTGGCACAGGCTGTCCAGAGAGGTGGGGGAGTCTCCCACTCTGGAGCCATTCCAAACCTGCCTGGACGCCGTCCTGTGCAACTGCTGGAGGTGCCCCTGCTTTGGCAAGGGGGTTGGACTGGATGATCTCCAGAGGTCCCTTCCAACCCTGACTAGTCTGGGATTCTGTACCCCAAGAGAAGCGATGATGCAGATGCTCTATCACTTGAACCTAGGAGTGGGTTTCACTGGAAGAGCCGCTGGGGTCTCTGAATGCTCCAGGAAGGGCTTGAATCACGGTGAGCTCTTCTTGCCCAGCAGGTCCTCAGAGGTGTCTGGTGCTGCCGAAAACATGTGGATTATTCCAGTGCTTGCTCTCTGCGGCCTCGCAGCAGCTGTGCCCTCAGAGGACAGGAAGCTGAGCGACAAGGCAACAACGCTGGCTGACCGCAGCACGACGCTGGCCTTCAACCTCTACCATGCCATGGCGAAAGACAAGAACATGGAGAACATCCTGCTGTCCCCCGTGGTCGTGGCCTCTTCCCTCGGCCTCGTGTCCCTCGGGGGCAAGGCCACAACTGCCTCCCAAGCCAAGGCAGTGCTCAGCGCAGACAAACTGAATGATGACTACGTGCACAGCGGGTTGTCCGAGCTCCTGAACGAGGTCAGCAACAGCACAGCCCGCAATGTCACCTGGAAGATCGGCAACCGCCTGTATGGCCCTGCCTCCATCAACTTCGCTGACGACTTTGTGAAGAACAGCAAGAAACACTACAACTACGAGCACTCCAAGATCAACTTCCGAGACAAGAGGAGCGCCCTGAAATCCATTAACGAGTGGGCAGCCCAGACCACAGATGGGAAACTCCCAGAGGTCACGAAAGATGTTGAGAAAACTGACGGGGCCCTCATTGTCAACGCCATGTTCTTCAAACGTAAGTTCTACCTTCAATTCTTGATACAAGTCACCCAAAACCTAGTCTGAGCCAACGCAGAGCAGCCCAAATGGGAATGGGAACAAATCCTAGGTGCACTGGAGGTGTGCTCTTATTCACTGTGCTCAAAATTACCACCAAATCCCTTCTCTTACAAGCTGAATTTCTCTCTCCTGTAGCTCATTGGGATGAGAAGTTCCATCATAAGATGGTGGACAACCGTGGCTTCATGGTGACTCGTTCCTACACTGTGGGAGTTCCCATGATGCACCGCACAGGTGAGTTGCCAACCTCCTGCCCCACATCGAGTCCAACCGGAGTTACGCTCCCCGCTGCTCCGTTACCCAGTTTTCCACCAACTGCTTCCAAGATTGTTTTGCTTCACAGGCAAAAAGCTAGAGAGAACAAAGCAGGGTGGGCTCGTTCTGCTGAGTCTGTCTCTCTGTGAGCAGAGATGACCCATGGTTACTATTGGGTGCTCGGCTGTTAGGAATAAATCCTAGCTCATCACGCAAATGAGAGCCGCAGTTCTGAGTTGTTGCCAACTCCAATAATGCTGGGCCAGGTCCCAAAACAGCATTCAGAGTGGTTTCCCTTACTGGTCAGGGAAAGTCTGGGGTGAATTCATAACAAGGTTGTGGGTAGCTTTGCCTCTGCTCCACATCTCACCCTTTCCTGCTTCTAATCTCAAGGTCTCTACAATTACTACGATGATGAGACAGAGAAGCTCCAGGTGGTAGAGATGCCACTCGCTCACAAGCTCTCCAGCATGATCTTTATCATGCCAAACCATGTGGAGCCTCTGGAGAGGGTTGAGAAACTACTGAACAGGGAGCAGCTAAAGACCTGGGCTGGCAAGATGAAGAAGAGATCAGTGGCCATCTCGCTGCCTAAAGTCATCCTGGAAGTCAGCCATGATCTTCAGGTAAATGAGGTCCTTAAAAATAGTTGGGCCTTCCAGTTCTTTGGGGTGGGAGAGAAGATAGCGGCACGATGGGTTAAATGTGCCCATCATCATTTTTCCAGAGACTAGGCTAACTGTGGGTGGAAAGATTGCACTGTGTCATCTGTAGGAGGGTTGCTGACCTCTTTTCTCCTCCTAGAAACACTTGGCTGATCTGGGCCTGACAGAAGCCATTGACAAAACCAAGGCTGACCTGTCAAAGATCTCTGGCAAGAAAGACCTTTACCTGTCCAACGTCTTCCACGCTGCTGCTCTTGAATGGGACACAGAAGGGAACCCCTACGACGCCGATATCTATGGTCGAGAGGAGATGAGGAACCCCAAGCTCTTCTACGCTGACCACCCCTTCATCTTCATGATCAAGGACAGTAAAACCAACTCCATTCTCTTCATCGGCAGGCTCGTGAGGCCCAAAGGCGACAAGATGCGTGATGAGTTGTAGTTAGTTTGGGTTGTTTTTTGTTGTTTTTTTTTTTTTTTCCCCAGAGCTTTGGTTTGTGTGTTTTTTTAGTGGGGGGATTTCAAAAAAGGGGAAACACTATTTTGTATCCTTCTCGAACTATGGGTGCTATTCAGACCAGGGTGCATTGTGATGAGAAACCAGCATACACTTTACCTCACCCCAAAAATACTTATTGCACAAACCCACCTCCAGAGAGGAACAGGAGAGCCTGGCACAAAGAGGGTCACCAGGAGTGGAAGGGAACCGGCGTGCACTGCCTCAGCCACCGGCATCCCTCAGCTGAGATGTTCAGGCTGATGCCCAGCCCCTCCCTGCACTAGCGTTTAGCCTCCTGCTGAGTACCTTGCTGCTACCATCAGCCCTGCAAAGGCACAAGCCCTCCCACCCTTCCATCTCAAATGCTTCTGCACGTTTAGCTCTGCCACTTCTCTCCCCCTTTGATGCTATGCGGGACCACGCCAGAGCTGCTCTGGTCACTTTGCAGTTGTTCCTTGCTTATCTCTTCTACCTTCAGTGGTATTTAACAGAGCACCAAGGGCCAGTTCTGCAGTCCAGTCCCCTCTACAGCCCTGTGAGCAGGACTGTGACAGCTTGTAAGAAGGGAGAGTGTATGGGGTTGTGCCCTTCTGTCCTGCCGAACCCTACTCTGGATGACTGTTAGATGCTTCAACTGCAGGAGGTCATGAGCTCCTTAGTGAGAACACACTGCAAAGCCAAGTGCAGCTTTGCTCAACGCTTCACAGAGAAGTAAAGTGGCTTAGGGGCGTCAGCAGAGGCCAAAGAGCAGATGCGCTCCTAGAAAGATAAACCTGAGGTCCCTTCAGCACTCTTGCACGCCAGAAATGGCTGTGCTCCACCCCTCTGGGCATCACGAAGGGGGCTCTTGGGCCAATATCTGGAATTAAACATGCTGTCCCAGGCAAACAGAGGAAGTCCCCTTCTCTTGGTGCTTCCACATCAGCGCACAGTGCTGGGAAAGAGACAGTTACCACTGTGAAGGTTCTCCCAGGGCTGGTAGCTATCAGCTCCTGTGGCAGGCTAAGGGACTCCTGCTGGTTTCTCCCAAGCAGGGGGATCAGGTTCGCTTCCACTTTCTTGTTGAAACACAGAGCTTTAGGGGCTGCCGTTACCTGACTTCCTGATGACCCTTTTCTGAAGGTCCTCTCCTCGGCGATACTTTAGCTCCCTGTTGGCTGACCTGGATAAGGGCATGCTGAAAACCAAACATATTTATAATTATATTTATGTCTGATAATTAGCAAGTTTCACAGCCTGCTCCAGCCTAGACTTGGAGGCTATTCCTATTTTCTTTTCTTCAAGGGATATCATCAGGTTAATACTATTTAAAGTAACTAATATGATCCCATGAGCACTGAAGCATGTGTCAGGTAAGCCTTGCTACGCACTGAGAGACATCGTAAAGCAAGTAATGAGAAGATTATTGAAATGAGAGAAGTCTGTGCATCACTATCTAGGTACCAATCTTTTGAACCAGCAAGGACAGTGACTGCATTCCTCTTCTTTGTTTTCATTTCCCTGCCAATGTGCTTACTGTCAAGTTGCTACATAGAAGCCCAATACTGCATTTTCTCAGACCATACACAGGACCATTTCCACTTATTTATTAAGTTAAAAACTACAAAATCTCTTATTAGGCATTTCTTACAGCCAAAAATACAGCAGCTCACACCCCCAAGTTTGACTCGACCATGCCTTCACCAGGTTTGCAAGGTTACACAATTGCAGAAGAGCTCGTCTGCCCTAATTCCTATCCAAACCAGCCAGAATGGGAGATTCTTCTCCTTAAGCCCCTTCCCAGATCGTGTTTCCAGGTGCTTTTCCCCCATTGCGGTGGGAGGTAGGAGGCAATCCACAAGGATGTACCCAAATGCACAGGAAGCCCGAAGCCCAGTGTGTATGCTAGGCACTACCGGGGGAATCAGCGCGCTAAAACCCACACGCTGTCGCATGTTAGGGAGGATTGGGGGAGGGGGGGGTGGGTAAAAGGGGTGGGCAAGGCAAGAACACACTGTGGAATATTGTGAATAATTTGCATCATGTGGATGCAGGCGTCTGATGGCTTTTATTTGTCTGTTCTTCTACCACACGGTGACAGTTGTATAATTTTGCAATAAAACTTTTTTTTCAATGAACCCCCCGCAGCCACAGTCCCTTGCAGGGTTTGGGTGAAGGCAAAATACTCTTAAAAGCACTCAGAGAGGTTTCTCGCCATCCTTAAATCTAATACACCTTTCTTAACTTGGTAATAACAGACAAAAACTACACTTAATACACAACAGATGAATTATGCTGATAAATCCTTCAAGGGAGGGTGCCAGGGGGATGGGAACAGTCTTTTTTCAGTGGTGCCCAGTGACAGGACAAGAGGGAACGGGCACAAACTTGAACGTAGGAAGTTCCATCTGAACATGAGAAGGGACTTCTTTCCTGTGAGGGTGGCAGAGCAGTGGCACAGGCTGCCCAGAGAGGTGGGGGAGTCTCTCACTCTGGAGCCATTCCAAACCCGCCTGGACGCCGTCCTGTGCCACTGCTGGAGGTGCCCCTGCTCTGGCAGGGGGTGGCACTAGGGGAGCTCCAGAGGGCCCTTCCAACCCTGACCATTCTGGGATTCTGTAATTCCCAAGACATGTCCATCATGGGAAAGGAACACTATTAGCAGGTCGGCTTTTCACTTAACTTTCAAATTTTTCTCCTGAAACTGCAAGTATCCAGCATCTTTAATGCTTCATAGGTAAAGGACCTACTGCCCTGCCATTTAAGAGCAGCAAATGGCTATTAAAATACAGCAGCATAGGAATAAAAAGTGAGCTGTTAGCCACAGGGACCAACCCTCCTCACCCTACAACCCAAAGCTTCTCCATCTGGGACCCAATCGAGGGAAATAGAGGAAGCAAAAGAACTGCAAGAATCTGCATCGTCGCTGTGGCCACACAGCTAAATATGCCTTCCACAGCTGGAAAATCCACCAGCCTCAGACCCTGGAGGCCTCGTGTCCCTGCTGTCCATTCAAGCATGCAACCTTCTGCCGCTCAGTCACAGGCAAAGCTAAAGCCACAGACATCTCCCCTCTTCCAAAATAACACACGTCTGGGACAGGCAGGCACACACATCCCTGTGCAACTCCTCATGGACTGAAAAAGCACCGGGTGGTTGCTGTATCGGTGTCTTTCACTGCACAAAATTACAGAAGCCATCTCCAGCACCGACTGTATCAGCAGCCCAGGAACACCACTAACCTGGAATAGCAATATCGCGAGGAAGTTAAAAGTTTTCCTGAGCTCCTCCTACCCCCAGCTCATCTTGCAAGCAGCTTTAAATACTCCTGTTTTTCATCCCAGGGAGGACAACACCCTCAAGACTCCAGGAACTTAAAGAGTCCCCTGCCTCTCCTTTAGCAGCTTCAAACAGCTCATGGTGGTGGTGGTATACTCCAACAATGCACGCTAGAAAGGTATTCAGTTCACACACGCAAACCTTGACCATTATGGGATAATCCTTGATGTTGTCCTCAACTTCTCACAACATGCTGTATCTAACAAGAGAGGTAACCAGCCACACGCACTACTTGCACATCTCTTGGTCTTACACACAACTGACCAAACATCTCTTGATTCCACCAGTAATCAGCACTGCGAGATTAGCAGGCTGATGGACCGGGCTGGAGGGCTTTAAACCAGAAGGAAACTGAGCAATCTCCAAGAAAGCCAACCCTCACTGGAGGACCGCAGAAATTTCTAGCTGATTGTCTAGCACACTGGGGTAAGAATTCACACACAACATGCAAGGCGTTGTGCGTCACTCTTCTATTGCTTCAGGCCTTCCAGCTTTTGCACATTTCTTGCTCCTATAAAGCAACAAAGCCAGTCTGTCACCTTCCCCCCCCTCCCCGAATTTTCCGAATTCAAGTTCATATTTAAAAAAAAAAGTTGGTATTACCTAATCTAACACTTAACATGTAGTAATTTTTTTTTTTTTTTTAAGCTTTCCACTGATAGATGTGCACAGAAACCTGAAATCACTCATTCTCTGCCACCCTGAGAAGGCGCATCTGTCTCTGACAGACTTAACCAGCTCCCCAGCCAGCACCCTGCCAGGCCGCGTTCCCAGGAGGGCTGCCAGAGGAACTGGGAACAGGAAGGCTGAAGCTCACACATCCGCATACACTGCCAGACAGACCAGTTCCTGACGCTGTTGGTTTGAAATTCCAGTTCGTAAGTTGCCTGCCTAGCTCCTGCAGAGAAGCCTCCCAAAAATGGAGGCTGCATGTAAAAGCTATTCCTAAGCAATGAATTTTGCTGATTTGTACAGTTTTTGTTGATGTAACAAACAGGTTCTGAATTTCTCGAAGTCTGAACAAAAAGCCTCGATCTTACACACAACATGATCTCTTATGATGTGTGTAACAGTCTCTTTCCTATTACTGCACTGGAGTTTGAAGAACACACTGGGAAAGGAGCTGATAGAACAAGAATCTCTGCCTAAAACTTCAAGAAATGCTCAGTCTTGCTGCTTCAGCTACAGGGCTTTAGCTTGACCACAGACAACTGCATCAAAAAGTAATTCATACACAGCAGCAGAACAACAGTGAAAACACATCCCTTCCTACAGACTACATATCTGAATAGCGTAACTAGCCTCGTCTTCTATTATCAACTTCAGGATCTACCTATGTTAGCCTACAGCTAATTAAAGCCTGTTATTACTACAGTGACAAATTAATCATCTGTCTACTCAAGCCTCAAAGGAAAACAAGTGTTTTCCCCTGTCACTTATATATCTCAAAGTTTAAGACAGAAGGTTTGAAATCCAGAGTGCACACTTCTTCCCACACCCCCCCTTAATTACTGTGTATACTAAACTCACAAGTTTGCCTCACCCCGTATCTCCACCAAGGTGACCTGACCCTAACAGGAGCTATAACATTCCTATACAGTCTACAGCCCTGAAAGTCACATAGTGAACACCTCTTCAGTGACAAGGGAAACAGATGTACAAAGGTGAAAAAAGCATTCAGCAAAACATAATAATATTTCAGTTGAAGCCAGGAAGGTACAAACTGCTGCAACTGCTTTGGACACTGCTGAAAAAACTCCCCCTTCTGGAAGCTTTGGAGAAAGCGACTGATATTTAAGTGAAGAGTTACCAGTACTACTCCTGTTCATGGAGTGTCATTCATGACCCCTTAAATATGGGATTGTTGCTCCAGCTCTACC